CAGTACAGTACAGTACAGTACAGTACAGTACAGTACAGTACAGTACAGTACAGTACTTATCTCCCTTGCTTCGTGACTGCGGGTCAGCTGACCGTACACGTGATCGCGTCGTCTTGGACCCGCCATCTTATTGCTAGGAGTTTCGGCGAGTTCGAGTCATACTGCATTTGTGAACTTTATAAAGGTATGAACTTTCATCTATATTACGTTTGTGTACTGGCGTGGTGGCAGCGGTTATAACTACCCATGTCAAGACATTTGAACTGGATAACCATTCGTACGCAACGTGTAGCTGTCAATGCATAGGTGAACCGGCTTTGACAATAGCCGTGTTGTGTTCGTACCTAGTTTTCGTCGGGTATCCTATCATCGCCCGTACGTCAGTATGGCTGAGTTCGAGCTCCAAAACAGTGGTGCTTAACAAACATGAAACTATTACGTCTTTTCGAAGCTTGGAGGCAAAATTTACAGTATACACTATCGTTAGACCAGAACTTTGCTGATTTCCTGGTGGATGACTTCACATGGCTAAAAAAAACAAATGCAAACCCACTACGTGGACTTGTCGACGATGAAGAGGCAGGGCCTAAAGAAAAGCGTCGAACTGCAGCTCAAAAAATTACACACTTGGAGCTTATGCTAGGCCAGGTTGCTAATTACTGCCCCATTATTTCTCGGAATACTATTGTGAAAAATTCTACGTCTGTGAAGAATATCTGGCAATCTATCAGACAGCATTTTGGTTCCAATCAACTGGTGCACATTTTATAGACTTTAATGCAGTCATCTACAGGCCGATGAAAGACCAGAAGATCTATTCCAGCGACTTACAAGCTTCGTTGAAGATAATCTCCTCCAATCGGATGGAAGCATCAGACACCATGGTGAGATTCCAGCTGATGATGAAGAAATGACACCATCTTTAGAGAACTTTGTGACATTAACATGGTTACGTTTGATACATCCTGATTTACCTACATTAGTGAAACAGCGATATTGGAACCGAGTTACGTTCACAAACATTAGCTTCCCTTAAACCGGAGATATCTCAAGCTCTTGACAGCCTTATGGACGAAATTCACTCTGCTGCAGATGCTAAGTTTTACGTACTGCTTTTACAGAAAGGTCACAGGAAAAATCGACATACTCTGGCAGGCGTGATAGAAGTGCACGTGTACAAAATAAATCGTGTATAGTGTGCAAACAAGCTGGCCGCCCTTACCAACACTTCCTCAGTAGCTGTAAATTTTTGGCGGAGCTGATGTACTGTACTGTACTGTACTGTACTCTAACAGACCATTGGTCATGTTACTCCCGTAATACACAATTGTCACTATACATGTATAGGCGAACATACATGTAGTGGCGCTGAATGTCATGGGCAAATTGGATTTGACCTCCGAGGTTATATTATATTATATTTATTTTTCTAGAAAACAATGAAGAAGAAAATGCGAGCGTTGCACCTCATCTAACCTTTTTTTCGAATTGCGCGACAGACTGGGGATTTGAAGGGGGCATGAGTACGTACAGACATACTCGTGAGTCTACTTACGGCGCGCTCAGAGCTCATGTCTATTGCTGCCGATGCGGGGCAAGCAGACGACAGACGCAGGTGGGATTGACCTATCGATAGACAGCCAGGCGAAAGGACAGAGGAATGAAAGAGAAGCATGGATAGTGTAAAACGCATTCGGCATCTATTAAACGCAGCTACGACGAGCAACTAAATATCAATTCCGGTTACAATAGAAGGGGCTAACAAAAGACTACAGTACTAGGCACATCCTCGCCTTATCCCTGATGACATTAACCTCCACAAATTAATTTGAAAGAAGCCACATGTGCCTGCGCGTGTGTGCGTGAGTCAGCATGAGTGTACGCGCATGTCTGTATTTCTGCGTGTGCGTATGTGCATGTGCGTGTGTCTTCGTTTAAGTGAATGCTTTTACGTGCGTATATGCGCTCTCAATACGTGCTTCTCAACCAAGGAAAATCTAAGTTGAACTGCAAGGTGGTTGTAATCCCAAGACATGATCCCAAGTAGAAAATGCGCCCGCGGGAGACGGCAACTTACGCTGATGGAAGTTATAAAACATTGGCACGGCAATGGCGTGATAATGATGAATCTTCTTACTTATTGTTTCGCCAACAAGAAAATCAAGTGGGACGGATTGTTCTCCACACCTCCAAAAAAGGGCATCATGCACTGTCGCAGTATAGCGGTAGCGTCTTGTTCTCTGTATAGAGAGTACCCTGTAGTTCTCTACATAGACAGTAGCCTGTAGTTCCCTATAAAGACAGTAGCTTGTAGTGCTCGGTGCAGACAAATAGCCTGTGGTTCTCTGTATAGACAGTGAGATACAGTTCTCTTCATAGAAATTAGACTGTAGTTTTCTCTACAGGCTGCACTGTATTTCTCTCTATAGACAGTATCATGTAGTTATCTCTATAGACAGTGTCCTGTAGTTCTATGTATAGACAGTAACTTGTAGTTCTCTGTATAAACAGTGACCTGCATTTTTTGCTGTATAGAGGGTAGGCTGTAGTTCTCTCTATAAAGAGTAGCATGTGGTTATCACTATAGACATCCTGTAGTTCTCTCTATAGACATTAGACTGTGGTTCTCTGTGTAGACAGTAAGCTGTAGTTTTCTGTATAGACAGTAGCATGTAGATATCTCTATATACACCCTGTAGTTCTCTCTATAGACATTAGACTGTAGTTCTCTTTATAGTCACCCTGTAGTTCTCTCTATAGACATTAGAGTGTAGTTCCCTGCATAGACAGTGGCTTGTAGTTTTTTTCCGTATAGAAAGTAGCCTGTAGTTCTCTCTATAAACAGCATCATGCAGTTACCTCTATAGACAGTAGGCTGTAGTTCTCTCTATAGACATTAAACTGTAGTTCCCTCTATAGACAGTAGGCATTAGTTCTCTTTATAGAGAGTACCTTGTAGTTCTCTGTGTAGACAGTACCCTATAGTTCTCTGTATAGACAGTACCCTATAGTTCTCTGTATAGACAGTACCCTATAGTTCTCTGTATAGACAGTACCCTATAGTTCTCTGTGTAGACAGTACCCTATAGTTCTCTGTATAGACAGTACCCTATAGTTATCTGTATAGACAGTACCCTATAGTTCTCTGTATAGACAGTACCCTATAGTTATCTGTATAGAGAGTAGCTTGTAGTTCTATCTACAGATAGCAGCCGCTGGTTCCTGAAGACAGCAGTCAGTGACCACTGTATCACGAACACCTAAATAATCCATGATAGTTGCCTTTACGCTGGAGACCACGACAACACCCTCACAACTCCCTTATCATTATCACAGCTTGTTCGTAGAAGGCCATCCCACCATCGAGAGGTGACAGAATGGACAGCTCATCCACAACCTTCTCGAAATTTACGCCGTGACATGGAACGCATGTCAACGCTACTCAATCGCCACCACAAACATGCAATCATGCATCACCGGCCACAAAACGAGATGAAGCAAGTATCCGCGCACAATTCCATGAAGCGGCGTCTCCGACGACTTCGCTTCAATGCCGAATTTTCCAACTCAATTTCGCTTTCCTCCCGTTTGTACCTTAATCACGGTGCAGTTGGGAGTGCACAGCGTCGGAAAACTCAGACTCAGGAATAAAATATGCCCGCTCTTTGCCCTACCACTTCCCTGCGGAGTGTAACCAGCAACCCTGGGAAGTGGTTAGCTGCATGCGTATGTATAAACCCATTACATAGAAAGGGGAAATTAGAGGAAATGGAGATTCCGAAAAAGTGGTTATTTCTTTCGTGACGAATTAATTCATGACGAAAAAAGACACGTATATCATGTAAAACACGATGTCTGTGTGCGCCACCCTTCCACCCTGTGTTCATAGCCCCTGAACGGTGCGATATCCACCTATAACATTTTTGTTGTGCCCCTCGACAGTATTACACGGCCATAACAAAGTCATGATAATTCTCCCTGGAAGTTGTATATTGTGTCACCCACCCTAGCACTGTCTGTGTCACACACTCTAGCACTGCCTATGTCACTCTCCCTAGCACTGTCTGTATCACCCACCCTAGCACTGTCTGTATCACCCACCCTAGCACTGCCTGTGTCACCCCCTCTAGCACTGTCTGTATCACCCACCCTAGCACTGTCTGTATCACCCACCCTAGCACTGCCTGTGTCACCCCCCTAGCACTGTCTGTATCACCACCTAGCACTGGAGTCTGTGTCACCCCCGCCCCCTCCACTAGCACTGTCTGTATCACCCACCCTAGCACTGTCTGTGTCACCCCCCCCCCAGCACTGTCTGTATCACCCACCCTGCGTGTGATACAGCCTAACACCGTGTTGACTTACCTTCACATTTCATGCCCTGGTGAATGAGTCCGTACAGAAGAGAGCCACAGTGGTCACAGAAGGTCGGGCTCGTGTATGTGTACACCTTGAACTTGTGCTTACTGCGGGGATCCTACAACCAGCAAGTAAACGACACCATTAACACATAAGGCGACACTAGATTGTCCCATGCAACTGTAGACAACCGTAGACATCATTCTATAGGGCATTCTCTTAAGCACCTTATACAACTTTCTACGTAGGGTATTCTATGGGTAACTAAAGGCAAGGCTTCATAAAGGAGGCATGCAACAGTATTTAATACACGCCAACCCTACCGCTTTACGCGGTAGACTACCGCTTTTTGAAGACTTCTACCGCCTACCGCTTTTAATACTATTCCTACCGCATTGCAAAATATTCAGTTACAAGAAAAACGGCACCTGCTATACCTGGAAGCCTGAAGACAGCCTTGTGAAGAAGGCCAAGTCTGCCACTTACCAGGCATTAAATGGCTAGTGAGTGTCAGTCAACAAACTGAACTCTGTGTACATTTTGTAAATACATGTATATTAACGTAGAATTAGTGTGACATGTGAGTGAAATCCATGTATGTACATGTAGTGACACTGTGTGTCATGACACTGTGTGACATGAGTAAATCCATGTATGTATCCATCTTATTTTTTTCATTTTATCTCTAATAAATGATGTATTCTATTGCAGTCCAATTACTCCCCAGAATGCAGGAGAAGGCACCATTTAGCACCATTTTTTGAAAATTTTCATGGGGGGGCATGCCCCCAGACGCCCCTAGCGGCGCGCGCGACTGCGTCGCACGCGGATCTACCACTTTTCATTCAAAATAGGTTGGCATGTATGCCTCCGCAAACTGTTGCACTATTTCGTCTCTAGAAAAGGCCTTTTTGACATTTTTTCCGGTGAAATTCGGCATAGAGAGCAATTATTTGCATTATGCGTGCAAGTTAGATGCGTCGTGGGCTTGTCGTGTAGTTGTGACATTCCGTCAGGTGGCGTAGCCATGGTGACCGGTTGGTCATTTTGTGTTTGAAATGTGATCCGACTCATTAAATAAGTTCATTCGGTTGGTAGACTAATATATATATAACAGGGTTAATTGTTACTCAACCGTGAAGATTGGAAACGTACCGCTTACGTTTCGCCTCCTGCCAGGAGGCTTTCTCAAAGCTAACTAATGATTATCAGTTTTGACCACCAGTTTTGATTTTCACACGGTCAGAGAACAGTGACTGAAGTCCGATCCTTCGTAAAATTTGGAAAGAAAGATCGCAAGACACAAAAACCATCTAGTGTTTACGTTACGGTGTAAGGACGAAAATATTGTTCCGTCCAGTCTACGACTAAAATGCCCGATTCGTACGAATTGCGCGAAGGACATTATCGAGAAAGCAGAAAAAACAACTCATAAGAGAGAGAATACGATCAGTAAGCTACAAAATCAAGCAATATGAAGACAACAGACTAGTGAAAATTAAAGGATGGCTTAAACTATGGAATGGCTTGAAACGAAAGCCATTGAGACAGCACCGTCTGATCTCAAACCTAAATTGTGGGCTACGCTATGTAGATGACACAATGGAAATCATCAAGTCTGGTACAGTCCAACAATGGACAGAACACCTCAACAGCATCGACAGTACCAACAACATCAAATTCACGTACGAGGAAGAACTCGATCAAAAAATTCCGTTCCTCGACACACTCATCCATAAACGAGAAATAAACGATGGTTCACTAAAACTGACGGTGTATAGGAAAAAGTCCCACACGGACCAGTACTTCAACTTCAACTCACACCACACAGTCAACCACAAACTGTCAGTAGTACGGACGCTACTTGATCGTAGGGACAAGATCATAATGGAGAGTGAAGACCGGGAAGCTGAAGCGCGCCACATCAAGAACGCACTAGGAAAATGCGGCTACCCTAATTGGACACTCGAAAAAGTGTTCAAGGAGATAAACACATCACAAGAAAAAACAACATCCCAAAAGAAAACCTCCAAGGAGAAACCGAAAGCGATGATTGTCCTACCCTATGTCAGAGGCGTCACGGACGTAGTTCAACGTCACCTAAAAAAATGCAGGTGTAGCTTCAACAGTTAGACCGTTTGAGACCCTAAAACGGCTTTTGGTACACCCTAAGGACAGAACAGATATGCACAACATTACGGACTGTGTCTACAAGATACCGTGTGCAATGTGTGAAAAAAGTTACATCAGAGAAACCGGCCGAAAATTTGAAACCCGCCTTAAAGGGCCGGACATACTAGGCGATTAAATCGGGCGATTACATCGGGCGATGAAATCGCCCTTAAATCGCCTAGTGTGTCCACTCAATCGCCGCCGATTTCATCACCCGATTTCATCGCATAGATCAAAACGTTTTGATATTATCGGGCAATTTTGTCGCCCGATTTTGTCGCCCGATTTCATCGCCTAGTGTGTCCGGGGCCGGCGATAACATCGCCCGATTGTACAATTCATCAGCCAATGGACAAGAAGCACATGCATAATTTCTGATCACTGAACCAGAGTGAACACAATGCGCTCAGACACAATGCGCGAAATCACAATGTATTTTGTTTCAGCACAACGGCGCTGCGTTTAGCTGTCGTGTCGTGCTGCGTGTGTGGAGACGGGCCTTCATTCACCGGCGATTTAATCGCCTAGTGTGTCCACTCGACTCGCGCGATAGAATCGGGCGATTATGTCGCCCGATTTTATCACCCGATTTAATCGCCTAGTGTGTCTGGCCCTTAAAGAACACAAAAAGGACGTAAACACCGTAGCACCCAAATCGTTCACAAGGGCTCAACGAAAACAGTCGGCTACCGAAATCACCAAAATCCGCGATCACGGACCACGTAGCGAAGAACAATCACACCATGGATTGGGAGAAATCGAAGATCAAGACCACCACACCATCTGGGGGGCAAAACTGATAAATTATCAGTTAGCTTTGAGAAAGCCTCCCGGTAGGAGGCGAAACGTAAGCGGTACGTTTCCAATCTTCACGGTTGAGTAACAATTAACCTTGTTATATATATATGTGATCCGACTATTTTGTAGAAATTCGCGTCATAGAGCTGGCAAAGGTTTCGAGCGAAGGATAGAGCATGAATCTGTAGTTATTTAACATGAATAAAGTGTATGTTGTGTATGCGGCGAAACAGTGTAAGTATTTTTAATTAATTTCTGTTCGATGCTTGACTGCTGCCTATGGACGCCTTCTACTGTTGTAAAACACCTAAAGGGCACCCATCTGGCCCCTAACGTGTAGACATGTATTTTAAGACTATGCAGAAATGGCATGTTAGAAGACTCGCGTGAGTTTACCGAAGCAGGAACATGGCAGCACGTGTTTACATGCATGCACACATGGGCTCGATTTGTTGTGATGCATAGTGGCGAAGCCACAAGTGTTGTATACATCACGGAAGATGAATGTCTTCGAAGGTGTTATGTAAGGAAGAAAAGAGGCTGCTTATCGTGCGATGCGACTAGAAGTCGGGGACTATAGTCAGATAGCACGCGCGCAACCAGATAATGGTTACGCTTTTGGGAATCTTCTTTTCTTTGAATGTACTTTCTCTGTGTGTGTGTCTCTCTCTCGCCCTCTCGCTCTCTTTTTCTTTCTCCGCCTCTCATCCTCGCTTGCTTTCTCGTTCTCTCTCTCTCGCTCGCTTTCTCTCTCTCTCTCTATTTCTCTCTCTCTCTCTCTTTCTCTCTCTACTCGAGCTCTCTCTCCCTGTCGCCCTCTATGTGACAATCCCACGTTGGCTTCAAAAAAGGAAACATTGTTACCAGAACAATACGGGGGAGGGGTGTACACGTGTGAATTCGTGCGTGCGCGCGCGCGCGCGCGCGCGCGTGTGTGTGTGTGTGTGTGTGTGTGTGTGTGTGTGCGTGTGTGCGTGTGCGTCTGTATGCTTGTAAGTGTGCGTGCGTGCGTGCGTGCATGTGTGCGCGCATGTGTGTAATTAATAAATGTATATCTTATAGACGACATGTAATGACAAGAATGTATCGATGAAAGGTATGTCCCCCGAGTCGTGCTCATTGCTCACACATGACATTGGATCAAACTGTCTGTGCGCGCAATACGCCAGTTTAAAGCATGACCATGGCATGGCCCGACTATGGCATGGCATGGCCTTCAATGTTCTTTCTACGTTCAGATTTCTTCTGCCCACTATTTTCTACGCGCACGACCTGTCAGCTTTAAACGTTGATCACGTGAATCACGTCTCGCCGCGTTCTCTCGTTGTTAGAACTAGCGGAACACAGTGAGCTCGTCTGTGCACAGCCGCAGCCTGCGGGCTCGACTCTACGTGTCACTGAGAGCGCTTGTCGCACTCCAGTACGCGCCGTTGCCCCGCGCAATGAGATTAGACGTGTCAATGTTGCGCAATTATTACCAATATGTAATCGATAATGGATGCACGTCCGACATGTTGGTATCCGCGCAGTGCTGCAGTGCTGGGGTCGGGCACATAGAGCAGCGATATGATGATGGCAGCGCAGTGCTGCAGTGCTGGGGTCAGGCAGATAGAACAGCGAGATGATGATGGCAGCGCAGTACTGCAGTAACTTGTTCGCTATTATGTGAGACTATATTATTATTTACTTTTCTGGATTGTGCAGCTATTTATGAAATAATTCCTTTAATGTGTGTTTCTTCCGTTTCATTCGACTAAATAATGGAGCTCTCACAAGGATACTATATACACTATATTCTGGGTGAATTTTCTATTACTAATCCTGAAACCAGCGAAACACCAACACTACATAATGAAGGAAAGTCACGCATGTTTACTGAAACCTCTGACCCAAACATTATATGGCGGTCATTGGTGAACAATGTGCAAACACTATACCACGCACTCAACGAAAAAAACTGGCAATTTTAACTGCATCACGTCTGATTGACCGTTTGAGATGCGCTTCATTTTCCGTAGATTTCAGGGAAATTGTCACAACGCTAATGCGTTTTCGTGGCGAAACTTTTCAAGCATTCGCACACAGCAAACACAAATCTCCCGTAAAATCGAACGCGTCATGGTGGCCAGCTGACACGCTGAGCGTATGCTCAGACCTAGATCCCAAAATGCAGTGCGCTCGTTACTTTCGTTGTTGTTCACTTACAGTCGGCGCGCGGCAAACGACAGGTTGGACTTTTGTTCGCCCATTTTTACATGTGCTGCCCCCTGGACACGCGTGTGGCAGGAAGTTTCACGCACAGACCTTCAACTTCGTCTATGGTGTCTGCCTCCGTATCACCGATAGACATAATCCCATTTAGGTTGAAGTAAACTGAACATATGGGAGAGCGTCCGTCGATCGCAGGCGAATATAAAAGCGAGCGTTGCGCCTAATCTCATTAGCGACCAGAAAATGAAGGGAAGAAATATTCCCCTCCCGCCTCCGCCTCTGTTTTTCGCTGAGATATTCTGCGGCAAAGGCAAGCGAGAGCTTGACTAATTACTAGAGAGATGAGCGAGGGCGCGCCGGCGAGGTTGTTAAGTGGCATGCACACGCAAGGCCACGGACGCGCACGTCTAGCTTTTGTTATCGCGCGATGTCAGCCTAATGACGCGACGACTCGCGCATATAAGCAAAGCCGTGCCTTGGAAAAAAGTATTAAAATTATCGTAGACGACTACGACCGAGTCACGCACGGTGTGCGTGACCGCGCGTGTGCGTATGTATGCGCGCACGTGCGTGGGTGCGTGCGTGAGTGTGTGCGTGCGTGTGCGAGCGTGAGTGTGTGTGTGTGTGCGCGCGCGCGTAAATGTGTATGTGTGTGCGCGTGAGTGTGTGCGTGTGCGTGCGCGTAAGTGTGCGCGTGTGTGTGTGCGCGCGTGTGTGTGTGTGTGTGTGCGTGTGTGTGTGTGTGTGTGTGTGTGCGTGCGTGCGTGCGTGTGTGTGTGTGTGCGGTATCAATGAAGGGTTGGCTTCCTTATGCTACGTTTACACTATGTGGACCCGGCGGCCACGGCAGCCCCGTTTGCCCGAAACGTAGTGCGCCGTGGGATTATGGCAATTTTTTTCTCTGTATTCAAGTTTTGTTAAGTCTTGCCAAGTTTTATCACGGTCTATCACGGTATACGTGACGGGCCGTGGGGGGGGAAGGGTCTGCTGAGTCCCGGAGGGTCCAAGGCGCACTACGGTTCGGTCCGCGGTCTACCACGGATGCCAGTACGTTCCCTCCCGGCCCGTCACGTTCTGATGGGGTCCCTCACGTTTCTCACGATCTGATCAAGGTCTGACACGTTTTTCACGTTCTGTCAAGGCTTTCTATGGATGAAACGTGGACGCCGGGCAGCTTTGGAGCACGTTTGTGCCCACGGTATAAAAAGAAGGCCTCCCAGGCAATAGCAATCATTGTATCCTGAAATTTCAACGAGACAACATCATGAATGCCCAAGATAAAGAAGATTTTGTGTTTGCATGTTTGCGGGGTGCATACATCCAGTCTTTGCGTCAGCAAGAAGAAGGCTGGCAGCAGCTTGGCCTTCTTTCTTCAAAGCTTGGTCTTCTCTCTTCGTATTGTAGATGCAGTAATGTGTCGTCGATTGAATTCGAATGAAGCTCCCCTGACTGGCCCGGCTTTTATATACACCCTCCCAAACCGCGCGCGCCGTGTCAGACCGTAGTAAAACGCAACGCGCCGTAGCGCGCCGGGCCGGTAATACAGATGCTGCCCGTCCCACTACGGACCGCCACCAAGTTTTGTTACGGCCTATTACGTACTGTCACGTTTTGTTGCGTTCACCCCGTTTTACTACTGCCTACTAGGTTTCTCATCCGCACCGTGACTGCCATGGCAAATCTTTTGACCGATTAAAAATCTGGCGCAGCATCCACGGCAATCACGGCCTGTCACGTTTGCCCATTTCGTCCCCCCGCGTCCATCCCGTTATGTCCACGGTGGCCTGAAACGGGGCTGCCGTGGCCGCCGGGAACATAGTGTAAACGTAGCATTAGAGTTTCCGTCAGTTGACAATCGGCGCAGCGGATCTGGAAACAGACAATCTCTGCAGATGCGTGTCTCGACACGAACCCTGCAGACCCGATGTGGTTAGGGTCAACACGATAACACACCCCATAGGGTGATGGTAATATAACCGCAGGGATTCGGGTCAGGAGTGATAGCACACCATACGGTTAGGGTAATCTGGGATATGATGCGATTCGGGTCCGGAGTGTTAGCACACCATACGGTTAGGGTAATCTGGGATATGATGCGATTAGGGTAAAACAGAGGTAGGGGACTTGATGGGGTGAGGGTATGCCTACTCCAGCGACTACGTGAGATTAGGTTAAGCACACGCAGAAATTCATGATGGATTAGGGTTAGCAAGCATATCAATAAATTAAAGCCTTCTAAAGTTCGATTTCATAGCACTGCAGTCTTCCACATACTTACTGCATGTCTTACTTCACTGCACAGTCCTAACAGCTACTGGTGAATTAGAAGTAAAAAAGAAGCATTTGTGTTACTCTGGTGGAATTCGGAACATTAAACCTTATAATTATCTTATATCAATACGATTAACGAGCAACGCGGAACGAAGGCATGCCTAGAGCATGCAAGAACCAATACCCAAGAACCCTTCCCTAATTGATACGCACACGCATTCAATACGGCTCCGTAGAGAATCGGCTCTCAGCCGGCTGCAAGATAAAGAAGATACGCGATAATGGATGTCTTACAGTTGGATCTCTGTAATCATGATTGCGTCCATTCTGTGCGAAGGTTTCAGACAAAAGCCAATGCACTCCGTGGAAAAAACGCGCACGTCTATTAGTATTTATCTTGGCATGGTTGGACGGTACGTTACACGCGCGTAGTCTGTGAGCATCCGTGGGCATGACTAGCACAGGTTATTATAGCGTCTGAGCCGCCCCGTGAGCCACGTTAAAACAGCAACGAAGATGAGCCCCCGATGAAAGTTTACTCGCGCGCTAACTGAAATTGCAACCAACATCACCGATTTCTGCACGACTCCACGACATCGCTCATTACGGTGGCATCGGTTGTTACACGTGCCCATTGGCAGACAGCGCGTAATTTAGCGGGCACAACAACAAGGTGACGCGACGTCGCGATCGCCATCCGGCCAGAAGGTCGGGTAATTTCGATCAGCCTGTCAGGCAGTTGCGGGCTTAAGCCGGGAATCTGATTATACTAACCGCACAAGGCCAATCAGTGCTCGCAGCAACGAGACAACTGTTGCTGCTGCCGCTGCTGCTACTACTACTGCTACTACTACTGCTGCTGCCGCTTCTGCTATTACTACTACTACTACTACTACTACTACTACTACTACTACTACTACTACTACTACTACTACTACTGCTGCTGCTACTACTACTACTACTACTACTACTACTACTACTACTACTACTACTACTACTACTACTACTACTACTACTACTACTACTATTACTACAGTTACTACTACTACTACTACTACTACTACTACTACTACTACTACTACTACTACTACTACTACTACTACTACTACTAATAATAATAACTACTACTACTACTACTACTACTACTACTACTACTACTAATACTACTACTACTACTACTACTACTACTACTACTACTACTACTACTACTAATAATAATAATAATAATAATAATAATAATAGTAATGACGGTGATGATAATAAAATACAAAATATAATCAAAAGCCTATTCGAGATTAGCATAATTAATTTTTTGTTGTTGATAACCCACGAAGTAGTAGTTGACGAGCCGACTTTTGGCAATTATCACCACCATCCCCACCACCACCACCAGCACCACTCCCACCACCGCTACCGCCGCCACCAACAACAACAACATCATCATCAACAACAGCAACAACAACAACAACAACAACAACAACAACAACAACAACAACAACAACACTACTACAACTACTACCATTACCAACATATATGCAATAGGGGCCTTCCAACAAGAGGTTGTTATTCTTCAAACAGGCATCATTGTGACAGCCGAACATGTCACTACTCTCTAACAATTTTTCATAAATAAATCTCTACCTGGACAATCGCATATAATCGAGTTGTTAGGCGCCTGCAACCTTTTCTGATAGGACGAAAGTTTGCTAACACCGTGTGCTTTCTTCCTGAAACCAATAGGCATCTCACTGCTAGCATGACGGAATTCTTTTACATCCTAGATGAAAAGATTGGAATGGTGAGTGCATTATTCAATAGCACAATATAAATATATAGAATTTAATGAAACACTTGACTAATTGCTTAATGACCGAAGAGGCCACTGCTATCAGTAATCATCGTCCATGGAATCATACTTCGCTAACGAAGACATTTCATTGTGGACGGCCGTGCCATTCCTAGAAACTGGCACGCGTTATGTCGTGCCGTATATACTCACGCTATCTGAGACGTAAATGAACCACGCGCCTGTGCGTGATTCAGTGACACACTGATCTCTACTATACTAACTACTAAGTTAGTATAGTAGAGATCAGTGGTACGTGTCCGTATATCACGTGGACTGTTGCTATGGAAACGGTTAATAAGAAATACGGACGTATATTTATGCGAGTACAGCATCGCTTTCACGTAAGCAAATTTGATTTATAGAACGTATAGTATTCAGAATAGCCACACAGCAAACTACTTTTTAATCAATACCACCCCTATACAGCAGCTCAGAGGAAATCGAATGTAATATATCAGCTTTGATGATCCAGTACGTGTTTACAGGGGCGTAGCCAGCCTTTCCAAGAGGGTGATTCCTTCGACACGGAATTCACGGCATCCGCAGAAAAGCATAGATGCGCAGTTAATAAGCGCTGTCGCAACATACGAAGAGCCGAGTTAAAAAATATAGGGGCACAAATTGCTTCTAGATATTACATCGACACCAACATATTATCAGGAGTGAATAACAGCAAACATTGTATATATACAGCTGTAATATTATACAGGCGCGATTGGGCGCACGAGGCACACATGAGTGAACCGCCGTGATCGGCACTAACAATTCGCTCTATATTCCATATGCCTCGTGTCTCTCGCTAATGTTCGATGTTTCTAACTCCGAGGGCAGACTTCTGTATACGCCACAGAGGCTCCTTCGCCTACTGTCACTGTTTTCCTCCTTTTCGGCGGGACCTTCTATCATATTCCGCCAGGCTCTACTGATATAATAAGAAAAAGCTCTATGATGTAATAAAAAAACTCATCCAATTTTTGGTTGTTTACCAGATCTAACGGGAAGTTGCGGCCATCCAGAGATAATACGCCACTATCACGGAAACGAGTATTGCTGCTTGAGAAATGCAGTTCTATTATAGAAGCCTTAGAAGTATTTATACAGTTATTTCGAACTTTCACAATTTCAGGGCGGAGACTACGAATCCGAGGATGAGAGACAAAGTCGGCAGAGCGGACTTGGAATAATATGAACTATAGCGCAAATATACGGTTTAATGAGGTTCCACGCGCACGAAGCCATCCCACTCTTATCGGAGTAACAAGTGCGTAGTGCGCAGAGGAAGTCTGATATCTTTCTGCTCCCCGCGGGCATGCAGAACACCGCCGACCGCGTGGCATTTAGAAAGCTGCTGTCAGTGTAAATCAAAGGCGATGAACATCACGGCTATAGGTATAGTGCACTCGATTTTATTTTCATTGTCACTCGTCTAACGTTACACAATACGTACTTGCAAAACATGCAACCTTTCTCGAACTAAACAGCAGGTAGGCCGTAACACGAGAGTGATTCTGCTGCGTCGCGTAGCAACGAGCGTGCAATTGATGCAGTCGGCTGACGGCAGTTTGAATCGGCGTTGGTGACAGTGACAGTCAGTTCAACTGCCAACTGAGAAATGTCAACAAAGAAATAAATAAACGGGATACATGGGCTACCGCTGCGAGTTGAGTTTCCTGATTTTCTGCTTCGTTTAATTATTCACGAATATTAAAAATGTTCTTTCGAATCTGGTTTATATGTCTGGGACCTCAAAGCGAACAAAATGTAATATCGGAACGCACAACGTTAGACAGTGGCACGGTTATGGCAGTGCAGAGTAAACACATGTGGGCCTGTTAGAAATATCGTCTGTGTCGACAATGCTCTTCGTCTCACCCTGCACGCCTCGCCTCGTCGCCGAAACAGCGGCAGTGTGCCCGGCTACATCGGATTTTCCTTTCGCGCGTCTTGCCGCTACAAGAATACTAATTATAACGACACCGCGTTAATCACGCGACTCTCAAATCACCGCTGGCCAAAATTCACACATCTTTTCACGGAGAACTCGCGTGCTCAGCATCGAGAGACGGTACCCTGCGCATCGGCGTCTCGCGGCACGCACGGGAAATCGTCACCGAGTCGAATAACTCGAAGCACTCGGCACTCGAGATAATTATTGGCCATGCGATGGCCCCGGTGGTGAGTGCAATCGCCCGCGGATAAAGAACGCTGTAATCAGCGTCAAAATTAATTACGCGCTTACATTCACGATGTGCGCTGCCCTGAAGGTAGTAGCTGGGAAGCTCACGTATAGTAGCTGGGTTAATATAGCCGGCATCTGAGATCGATAACTAACAAATCGGCCGGGAGGCACTGATGGCAGAAGCGAGCGCGACGAGGCATACATCAATAGTATAGGACATTCCCTCACCTTCACCTGGGCGGACGACCACCTCCGACAACACCTACGTGGGCGGGCGGCAACCTCCAGGTGGGCGGGTCGACAACCCCTACGTGGGCGCGGTACCCTCCCTAAATGCGGAGGAGGGGGAGTGGCCACCAACTAACGTATGAGAACGACCACTTCCAGATGGACGGAAGCAACCACCCTTACCTGTGGGAGCGTGAGACAACTGATGACGTCACATGAAAAACTTTATTACGACTTCCTCGAAGCGGATTTTAGATTTAATGATGGCAGCAGATCCGTTTGCTGTTGTTCGCCGATTTAGCATACTTGCCCGATGTTGACATTTATAGCGTATGCAACGGTCGGCGTTCTATCCTGCTACCGCACGCACATGGCCGGGTAGCGAATTTGCGATTCCCAAACCGTATAGCTTTGGAAGAAAAATTGAGCAACGTGATTGGCTAGAAAAATTTTAGGACACGCATTATTAGTCAACAAGCTAATATATTAAGTTATAAGCTAATATTATAAAGAAATATATTTAATTCAGAACATAAACAAATGTTACAGAACAAATAAATGCAGAAACAAATAAAATACAAAGAAATACATAACGCAGAGGAAAATAAAAACACCATATGGCGTTCGAACGCGGTACCTTACGATCACGAAGCGAACGCTCTGGCGTTGACCAACTAAGACAGATACAAAATTCGTGGATATAGAAATCTGTTAACCCTAACCCTAACTGTAACCCTAACCTTAACCATAACCCTAACCCGAATCCTAACCCTAACCCTAACCCTAACCCTAATTCTAAAATAAAACAAAATTAGCCAAAAATAATAAGAAATAAAATAAATAAGCCCCTGTGCAAAATGCGCGATGGTGTGCGTGCGATAGTGGGGCATATATAGCGGGGGATTTAACGCTGAACCGTTAAACAAGATGGCGGATCTCGTGCGAAAGAAAGTAAGTTTAAATCTTTAGGAATCTTTCATCTAATTATAATATACCCGACCATCCACAGTATTTGATGTCTTTTATGAGAGAGTTTAAGGGTCTAAGATTTAGAATTTATTTGGATTACCTGTATTTGCGAGCTATTTCGATATGAAAATGATATAAACATGTGAGTTTGCGTTCTGTATGTCAGACGAATTCGTTTTGTATTGTAGATTCTCTTTCAATATGGAGAGCCGAGAACGGTATTAGATATAGGAAATGAAACAGCTGAGTTAAATAGGTTACTCCGAAGCGATTTTAATATCGCTAGAGAAGAGGGAAATATCGTCTTGCAACGGTTTGATGAGACATGGAGTGAGCGGCTAGATATAGCCGAAGAAGAAGAGCTTGACGACAGAGCTAAAATACGTGTCGTCCTGCTTCGAAAAAAAGACGTTGAAGATACAGCAGAGAAAACTCGGACACCTGTTGTGCAGACAATTAATACAGGTACGTTTTTGATTGATATGTTCAAATAATATCAAGCGGTGTTTGTGTAAATGTGTAGTAGCGCAGCAAGTCTAGGTTTGCTGTTTTTATTTTTGTTTTCGTGTTACGATTTTAAATCACTAATAACCTGATTTTAATAAATGATAGAGCATGGGTGTACACAGGTGGCCAGAGTTATATGAATTTACCTAAATCATGGTGTGTGTGTGTGCGTGCGTGCGTGCGTGCGTGCGTGCGTGCGTGCGTGCGTGCGTGCGTGCGTGCGTGTGTGCGTGTGTGTGTGTATGTATGTATGTTTGTATGTAATTATGTATGTATGTATGAATGTGTGTGTACGCGCGCGTGCGTGCATGCGTGCGAGTGTGTATACAACATATAGTTACACAGTTTGTTATATCTTACTATAAATTAGGGAATGTCTGTCTGTCTGTGTGTCCGGCTATACGTTTCCGCACTGCTCAACGGATCCTCTCCAAACTTGGTGGGAACATTCTACAGGTCATGACACGTTGCATGGGCTTTTTATTATTCCACATTGTGGTTCATCCAGTGGTTTCACCTTTCCTGCATGCATGGGTCTCACCAGTGCTCCCAATGGGGCATGGTTGTGTCCCGAGTGTGAGTATTAATTAATAATAGTATAAATGCGGAAACGCATACGGTGCTAAGGGAGTGGAAAAGAATGATCTTTGCAGCCAAGTCATTATTATTATTATTTGAATATCGATTACTTTGATTGTTATTGTCAGCTTGATTTTTTTAGGTGTTAAATGAAGAACCACTGGAAAACATACCAGTAGAGTGGTCTCGCATGAAGTCACGGTTTTTCCAGTGGGCCATATTGGAGTACGATACACGACTAGTACACATGCCCAAGGAACCTATCCGTAAACTTTGCCAGCCGTCGTCATGCACAGTTGAATTAATCATGATGAATTTTTGTGCTATTGTTGGATGTGGTAATCGAGGGGAAATTGCTCAGTATTTGCTGTCAAATGTTTGCCAAATAATATGTGCTCACCTGTTAGTATCTTTTGTAAATAAAAAAGTTCTAGAATTGTACAAGGATTTCATTCTACTTAATTGCAATACATAAAATATTCATAATATTATATTAGTATTTCTTTCGTATTTATGTGTCAAAAGGATGCATGACCACAGTAAGGTACATACCCAAATGTGAAAACAATAAATGATTTTAACCGATTTATAAAAGCATAAGATTGCAGGTGCAGTTTCCATTCCAGGTAGCTATTTCAATATAAACAAACTCAAATCTAAGGTAGTACCAAACTGCATGATTCCTATTAGCTATCTCAAATCTCACCTTGCAGTTTCTCACAATACTTGTATGCACATTCCACGTAGTTATTTCAATATAAACAAACTCAAATGTAAGGTAGTACTAAACTGCATAATTCCTATTAGCTATTTCAAATCTCACCTTGCAGTTTCTCAAAATACTTGTATGCACATTCTAGAAATATATCTGGAATATATCTGGATATCTGGATATATATATATATATCAGGAGTAAATAATGGGAATTTCCATTATTTACTCCTGATATATGTCTAGAATTTCTGGATATATCATTCCAGAAGGATATTCTGGATATTCCCGCAATATGCTGGAATATTGCCGGATTCAAAAAGAAATGCCTACGAGCGTGTGCGTACGCACAAAATGTACGAACACCCCACGCACAAATTTATTTGGAATTTTTTATTGAAGCGTGCGTTGGGTGCTCGTACGTAAATGTTAGTGAATACCGGCTAACGCAGCGCTATAACATAAAAAAAAGTAGACTATGGTTAAAAAAAAAAATCTATAAACAAATGTAAATGCGGTACGAGCGAGCGGCACACTAGTATATTCATACTGCGTTTGATATACTGCGGTTGAACTATAACTCCGGTTGAAGTATAAAATTAATGCGCTTATTTATTGAAATTTGTACACCCAGTGCTTGAGGGTAAACATAATGAAGTGATACTGGTAGTTAATAAACGATAACTTTATTGTTTTGCAGTACAAATTGAAGAAGTGTCGAAAGCTATGAATTATGATGCTGTGTTATATAGTGTTATGTTTCATAAGTCGACACACACTAGTTTCTATGTTCAAGAAGCGGCCGCATAGCCTCGTCGCGCCACAGAATTATCGACATCAATTTCAGAGGTGTGTGCAGACGTCGTGCAAACCACAGACATGGGTCGGTGGAGCTAAGTAAACGCTATGCTATCTATCATGAAACATGGTTCAAATTGAAACACCCATCAGTTAACTGACTTCTCATTCACATAGCTTCTTGTCTCCCAATATCATTTTATATATCATCTGACAGATGTGTATGTGTGTGCATGCGTATGTGTGTGTGCGTGTGTGCACGTGCTTGTGTGTGTATGTATTATGTGCGTGTGCGTGCGTGTGTGTTTGTG